TTTCTGTATATCCCTTGTACAGAACGAACTTCACGCTTGGAAGGAAATGTAAGGAGGATGCTCAACTCTAACCTTCACCACAATGCCAGTTGATGAGCTACTGACAACTGGCAATGCTCGTTAACATCTGCTGGCTTCCCACTACACAGCAATGATACCAACTTCTGCTTGCCTTGTAACCTTACTTTTTGGATATCCCTTTTACAGCACCAACTTCACACTTGGAAGGAAATGGAATGAAGACGTTCATCTCTAACCTTCATCACAATGGCAGTTGATGAGCTACTGACAACTGGCACTGCTCGTTCACATCCGCTGGCTTCCCACTACACGGCAATGGTACCAACTTCTACGTGCCTAGTAACCTTACTTTTTGGATATCCTTTGTACAGCACAAACTTCACGCTTGGAAGGAAATGGAATGAGGACGCTCATCTCTAACCTTCACCACAATGGCAGTTGATGAGCTACTGACAACTGGCACTGCTCGTTCACATCCGCTGACTTCCTTCTACACAGCAGTGATACCAACTTTTCCTGTGAAAATTCCCTGCGAGAGCTACGTGCCTTGCAACTTGACTTTCCGGATAACCCTCTTCTTCTTCTTCTTCTTCTTCTTCTTCTTCTTCTTCTTCTTCTTCTTCTTCTTCTTCTTCTTCTTTTTCTTTTTCTTCTTCTTCTTCTTCTTCTTCTTCTTCTTCTTCTTCTTCTTCTTCTTCTCCTTCTCCTTCTTCTCCTTCTCCTTCTTCTTCTTCTTCTTCTTATTATCATCTGGGAAATTGCCAAATTGCTTTGTCCTTGGCATAGAGAGCTATACCGGGATAGGATCCGTGCCCTTGGCATTATGGGGCAGCTGTTTTACCCTTCCGCCCCCCTCCATCCAAACCTTGTTGCTTGCTTTATCTTGCCTTCTGTTAGGAACACTTAGGACATAGCAGGAAAGTCACCTCCAAAAAGGTAAAATAAAATAACACACTCGGCCATAATAGTGTGGAAAGGGGCCCGGGTGTGGGGGGGACACCATTATGCGGCATCCACATGCTAATCTCACAGCATTGAGTCTCAAAGGAATTCAAGAGCCCTGCTCGAAATGCCTGCCGCGATAAGGGGGCCTGTTGCATTTGGCAGCGGTTTGGGGGAAAAAAAGCTTTCCTTTCTCTCTCTCGCTCGCTTTTTAGAAAAATGATAATTATCTTTGCGCGAAACGTTTTCACATTGCTTTTGATTTCAAATGCAATTCAGAGTACTGCCAGAAAAGCGAAGAGAGAAAGCCTTTTTGGAGGTAAAAAAAAATGGGGGGATTCCTCCCCCCGCACACACTTTTTAAGAACTGAAAAGTCAAATGTTTGATGATGATAGGCTATTATGTTTGGGAAGCAATTAGCCTGCTCCTTGATACACTTTCAAAGAGGAGGCCGATCAATATGGTCAAATTGCAAAACGGGGCTTTGTTGGGTGCAGCCTCCTGGGGAGGCTTTAAAACCTATCACTTTAGAATGCAAAATAATAATAATAATCCTAACATACAAAACCGACAAGGCACAGCTCATTGTCCAAAATAAGTTCTCTCCTCTAGGCTTCGGTTTGCTTCTCAAACATAGTTTCTGCATGATTCAACCATCTATGGATGCCTTGGGCAGCTTTTACCTCCCTGCCGAAGCAGTACCTATTTATCTACTCACATTACTATTTTGAAACTCCTAGGTAAGCAGAAGATAGGGTTAATGGTGGGAGCTCACCCTGACCCACGTCTATGAATGGCTTACCTTCCCGTCGGCAATATTTTCTGCAGCTGGTGGTTTAACCGACTGCGTTACTGTGTGTGTATGTGTGATATATAGTCCAACCCCTTTCCAATGCCAGAGATACAGCTTAATGGTGTAACATTAGAAAACGTTGACCATTTCCGCTACCTTGGCAGCCACCTCTCCACCAAAGTCAACATCGACACCGAAATACAACACCGCCTGAGCTCTGCGAGTGCAGCATTTTTCCAAATGAAGCAGAGAGTGTTTGAGGACCGGGACATCCGTAGGGAGACCAAGGTGCTTGTTTATAAAGCTATTGTCCTCCCAACCCTGCTATACACCTGTGAAACGTGGACTGTCTACAGACGTCACATGCAAAACACCACCTGAGCTCTGCGAGTGCAGCTTTTTCCAAATGAAGCACAGAGTGTTTGAGGACTGGGAAATCCGTAGGGATAAAGCTATTGTCATCCCAACCCTGGTATACGCCTGTGAAACATGGACTGTCTACAGACGTTAACATTGACACTGAGATAGAACACCACCTGAGCTCTGTGAGTGCAGCATTTTCCCAATGAAGCAGAGAGCGTTTGAGGACCGGGACATCCGTAGGGAGACCAAGGTGCTTGTTTGTAAAGCCATTGTCATCCCAACCCTGCTATACACCTGTGAAACTTGGACTGTCTACAGACTCAACCTTGACACCGAGATACAACACCACCTGAGCTCTGCGAGTGCAGCATTTTTCCAAATGAAGCAGAGAGTGTTTGAGGACCGGGACATCCGTAGGGATACCAAAGTGCTTGTTTATAAAGCTATTGTCCTCCAAACCCTGCTATACGCCTGTGAAACGTGGACTGTCTACAGACGTCAACATTGACACTGAGATACAACACCACCTGAGCTCTGTGAGTGCAGCATTTTTCCCAATGAAGCACAGAGTGTTTGAGGACTGGGACATCCATAGGGAGACCAAGGTGCTTGTTTATAACGCTATTGTCTTCCCAACCCTGCTATACGCCTGTGAAATGTGGACTGTCTACAGACGTCAACATTGACACCGAGATACAACACCACCTGAGCTCTGCGAGTGCAGCATTTTTCCAAATGAAGCAGAGAGTGTTTGAGGACTGGGACATCCGTAGGGATTACCAAGGTGCTTGTTTATAAAGTGCAACACACACTTTCTCTCCCTCTCTCCCTCTCCCTCTCTCTCTCTCTCTCTCGCACACACACACAGAGTACAAAACTCTATAAAGGTTTGGTTTAATCTCTGGTTTGCTAGTGAAACTGAATGAGCATGTCGTGAAAGTATGCAAAGCATGTCCCTAACATGAAAAGTTTGGAAAGCTCTGATCTATACACTAGACTCCTTTTGATTCAGTCTGGCCATGTTGTCCGAATGCCCAAACACCGTCTCCTAAAGCAGTTACTCTACTCCCAACTCAAGAACGGAAAGTGGAATATTGGTGGACAGGAGAAGATATTTAAAAATGAGCTTTAAAAACGGTGGTATAGACACCAAGAACTGGGAAGCACTGGCTCTTGAGCACTCTAACTTGAGGTCAGCTGTGACCAGCAGTGCTGTGGAATTTGAAGATGCATGAATGGAGGGCGAAAGGAGAAACATGCCAAGAGGAAGGTGCATCAAGCTAACCCTGACTGGAACTGCCTTCTATCTGGAAACCGATGCCTTCACTGTAGAAGAACATATGGGTCAAGAATAGGTCTCCACAGTCACCTATGGACCCACCACCAAGACCCTTCAACAAGGGATCGCCTAAGGCAATAATCGTTTTGGCTTTTTGAGCTGCCACATCACACTGTTGGGTCAAGTCAACCCTGACTGGGACTGCCTTCAATCTGGAAACTGATACTCTCACTGTGAAAGAACATACAGGTCAAGAATAGGTCTCCACAGTCACCTATGGACCCACCACCAAGACCCTTCACTTTGAAGGCCATCATGCTTGGACAACAAGGGATCGCCTAAGGCAATAATCGTTTTGGCTTTTTGAGCTGCCACATCACACTGTTGGGTCAAGTCAACCCTGACTGGGACTGCCTTCAATCTGGAAACTGATACTCTCACTGTGAAAGAACATACAGGTCAAGAATAGGTCTCCACAGTCACCTATGGACCCACCACCAAGACCCTTCACTTTGAAGGCCATCATGCTTGGACAACAAGGGATCGCCTAAGGCAATAATCGTTTTGGCTTTTTGAGCTGCCACATCACACTGTTGGGTCAAGTCAACCCTGACTGGGACTGCCTTCAATCTGGAAACTGATACTCTCACTGTGAAAGAACATACAGGTCAAGAATAGGTCTCCACAGTCACCTATGGACCCACCACCAAGACCCTTCACTTTGAAGGCCATCATGCTTGGACAACAAGGGATCGCCTAAGGCAATAATCGTTTTGGCTTTTTGAGCTGCCACATCACACTGTTGGGTCAAGTCAACCCTGACTGGGACTGCCTTCAATCTGGAAACTGATACTCTCACTGTGAAAGAACATACAGGTCAAGAATAGGTCTCCACAGTCACCTATGGACCCACCACCAAGACCCTTCACTTTGAAGGCCATCATGCTTGGACAACAAGGGATCGCCTAAGGCAATAATCGTTTTGGCTTTTTGAGCTGCCACATCACACTGTTGGGTCATTCAAGTCAACCCTGACTGGGACTGCCTTCAATCTGGAAACTGATACTCTCACTGTGAAAGAACATACAGGTCAAGAATAGGTCTCCACAGTCACCTATGGACCCACCACCAAGACCCTTCAACAAGGGATCGCCTAAGGCAATAATCGTTTTGGCTTTTTGAGCTGCCACATCACACTGTTGGGTCAAGTCAACCCTGACTGGGACTGCCTTCAATCTGGAAACTGATACTCTCACTGTGAAAGAACATACAGGTCAAGAATAGGTCTCCACAGTCACCTATGGACCCACCACCAAGTCCCTTCACTTTGAAGGCCATCATGCTTGGACAACAAGGGATCGCCTAAGGCAATAATCGTTTTGGCTTTTTGAGCTGCCACATCACACTGTTGGGTCACGTTCAGCTTATGGTTTACTAAACCTCCAGGAGACCACAACCTGAACATGAGTCAACTTCGAGTCTGATGCTAACATGCTCCATTCACAGCACAAGGCGGACAATATTAAGTTAATACACATTTCATCACATGTCTAGGGTTAGAGTAGAATGTCTTTCAAGGTTTGGGAAAGGGGTGATCTCACCTTCCAAACTGGGTTCCATGTTCCCAGCAGAGTAAGTGCCTTCTTTTGTGTACATCAGCAGCTCTTCTCCAGGTTCTATTTCTCTAATAACTTTATAATACATCTAGAAAGTTACAGAGGGAGAGAAAGAAGAGAAAAAAAATTAAATCTACACCGTAAACATTGGGTAGAAAGGGCACACTGCCAGTGAAGTGTTCCCATAATTGTACATAATATTTTTGACCTTTGGATCCCATGCACCCATTTGCACCCACTGAGTTAGTATCCATTGATTTAGCACCCATTGGCACCCACTGAGTTAGTATCCATTGATTTAGCACCCATTGGCACCCACTGAGTTAGTATCCATTGATATAGCACCATTGGCACCCATTGAGTTAGTATCCATTAATTTAGCACCCATTGGCACCCACTGAGTGGATATCCATTGATTTAGCACCCATTGGCACCCACTGAGTTAGTATCCATTAATTTAGCACCCATTGGCACCCACTGAGTGGATATCCATTGATTTAGCACCCATTGGCACCCATTGGATGGATATCCATTGATTTAGCACCCATTGGCACCCACTGAGTTAGTATCCATTAATTTAGAACCTATTGGCACCCTCTGAGTTGATATCAATTAATTTAGCACCTATTGGCACCCATTGAGTTGATATCCATTGATTTAGCACCCATTGGCACTTGTTAAGTTGGTATCCATTGATTTAGCACCCATCGGCATGCACTGAGTTGGTATCCATTAATTTAGCACCTATTGGCACCCACTGAGTTGATATCAATTGAGTTAGCTCCCATTGGCACCCACTGAGTTAGTATCCATTGAGTAGGCACTCATTGAGTTTGCACTCCATTACGATGGCACCCATTGAGTTGGTATGCAATCCATTGAGTTGGCAGTCACTTAGTTGGCACTCCATTACAATTGCACCAATTGAGTTGGTATCCATTTAGTTGGCACCCACTGGACCCACAATAATAATAATACTAATAATAACAATACCTTACAAAGTAGCACACAATGGTGGCACACAACATTTAAAATACAATACATTGATTTAGCACCCATTGGTACCCATTGAGTTGGTATCCATTAATTTAGCACCTATTGGCACCCACTGAGTTGATATGAATTGAGCTCCCATTGGCACCCACTGAGTTAGTATCCATTGAGTAGGCACTCATAGAGTTTGCACTCCATTATGATGGCACCCATTGAGTCTGTATGAAATCCATTGAGTTGGCACTCCATTACAACTGCACCAATTGTATTGGTATCCATTGAGCTGGCACCCACTGGCACCACCACAATAATAATAATAATAATAATAATAATAATAATAATAATAATAATACCTTGGGGCAACTTACAAAGTAGCACACAATGGTGCCACACAACATATAAAATACAATACACCAGCATTTATAAAATCAGTGATATGCCAGTTTGCATAAATCCACAACACACAGAAATTAACAAAGCTCAACTGAAATTAAATAAAGTACTGAGCTGGTATCCATTCTGTTAGCACTCATTGAGCTGGCACTCATTGAGTTGACACCTGCTGAGCTGGCACTAGAGAGTAAAGCAGCTAGGTTCAAAAAGGTGCAACAAAGGACCTTCTAATGATATTGCGAGGGTTGAATGAAAAGTAATGCCTCCACCGTCGTTACTTGGGTTTGGATGGGAATATTTTAATAAATCAAATGCAGAAATAATCCTTAGAATGTGCTCTTTAACTACCACTATTCGCTTTCCCACATAATCACCAGACAATTGGATACATTTCTGCCAATGATGAACAAGTTTTCTGAAGCCGTCACGGAAGAAGTCAACACTCTGTTTCCACAACCCATCGTGCACAGATCTTCCGATAGCCAAGCAAAGCAATAATGTGACCCACACGTTCTTGTGAAATGCTGATTATGCTTGACATTTCTCTCTGAGTGATACAACGATCTTCCTGAATCAATCTGTCAACCTTTTACTTGTGTAACTCGGTGGTTGCTGTCACAGGACGTCCAACTCTTTGTTTGTCACACAAGTCAGATGTTCCCACCTCAACATCTTTAAACTTTCTCACCCAACGACACACATTACTCACATCAACACAATCATCATAAACAGCTTGCATTCTCTGATGAATCTGCTTTGGGGTGACACCTTCTGCTGTCAAGAATTCAATGACTGCATGTTGCTTAAGTCACATTGACCGACTGTCTGTGCAGGGTTCCATACTTCACACTCTAACAACACAACCGTCCAATGCTAAGGCTTCCCACAAAATGGAACTGTAAAGGAGAGTCTACTGAACAAGCCAGTACCTGCTGCATACCAGTACTGCCATCTGTTGAGGTGTTACGAAGGTGGAGGCATTACTTTTCACTTTAACAACACAACCGTTCAATGCTAAGGCTTCCTGCCAAAATGGAACTGTAGGGGAGAATCTACTGAACAAGTCAGTACCTGCCACATACCAGTACTGCCATCTGTTGAGGCGTTACGAAGGTGGAGACATTACTTTTCACTTTAACAACACAACCGTTCAATGCTAAGGCTTCCTAACAAAATGGAACTGTAGAGGAGAGTCTACTGAACAAGCCAGTACTGGCCGCATACCAGTACTGCCATCTGTTGAGGCGTTACAAAGGTGGAGGCATTACTTTTCACTTTAACAACACAACCGTTCAATGCTAAGGCTTCCTGCCAAAATGGAACTGTAGGGGAGAGTCTACTGAACAAGTCAGTACCTGCCGCATACCAGTACTGCCATCTTTTGAGGCGTTACGAAGGTGGAGGCATTACTTTTCACTTTAACAACACAACCGTTCAATGCTAAGGCTTCCCACAAAATGGAACTGTAGAGGAGAGTCTACTGAACAAGCCAGTACCTGCCGCATACCAGTACTGCCATCTGTTGAGGCGTTACGAAGGTGGAGGCATTACTTTTCACTTTAACAACACAACCGTTCAATGCTAAGGCTTCCTAAACAAAATGGAACTGTAAAGGAGAGTCTACTGAACAAGCCAGTATCTGCTGCATACCAGTACTGCCATCTGTTGAAGAGTTATGAAGGTGGAGGCATTACTTTTCACTTTAACAACACAACCATTCAATGCTAAAGCTTCCTGCCAAAATGGAACTGTAGAGGAGAGTCTACCGAACAAGCCAGTACTGGCCGCATACCAGTACTGCCATCTGTTGAGGAATTACGAAGGTGGAGGCATTACTTTTCACTTTAACAACACAACCGNNATGCAGGCCAAAATCCCATTGGCTTTTTTTGCTGCCACATCACATTGTTGGCTCATGTTTAACTTGTTGTTTATGAGGACTCCAAGGTCTTTTTCACACGTACTGCTCTCAAGCCAGGCATCGTCCCCCATTCTGTATCTTTGCATTTTGTTTTTCCTGCCAAAGTGGAGTATCTTGCATTTGTCACAGTTGAACTTCATTTTGTTAGTTTTGGCCCATCTCTCTTATCTGTCAAGATCATTTTGAATCCTGCTCCTGTCCTCTGGAGTATTGGCTCTACTATTCTACTATTTGATGAGTTTATATTCCTTTGGTAACTTTGCCTCCCTTTTCTCCCTCTAAAATGTATTCCTAAATATTCATAAAAAATACTGCATTGCTAGAAATTTAGGTATGGAAAGAAAATTTCATGAAACTAGTAGAATTCCTATTTGAGAGGACAACACTCATTTCACTCTCCTCACATGGCTATACATAAGGTCCAAAACTCCAAACTGAATTAGGTAAATTCTTTTTTAAAGGATTCAACTAAATTCTCACCCATCCCTAGAAAACATCAGCACTGTCTAAGCACATTTGCCCCACTATGGAAAGTTCCATACTATCAGGGGGTGCTGAGTTCACCATGAACACTAGTGAGGAAGTGTCTAAATTAATGGTTAACATATATTTTTGACCAAGGGACTAATATTTGGGAAACTGAAATTCTCTTCCTTAAGAAGTCTGGAAGTTGGCCATCCCACCATTGATTAAAACATAGTATGGTGTCAAGTGAAGCTGGCAGCTTTGGGGGTGTTTATTATTTCAGGCTGGTGAGGATAATGTCACCTACTTGGGCAACCAGAATTAGTTATTTTCTTGAGCCTGTGGAACAAGAATCTGTTTGTCAAAGAACTCCTGTGCAATTTAGCATCATGCTTGCCAATTTAATGAGAAAATCAATACCACACTAGAAAATGTGGCTCCTCCTCTGCCCTTTAGCCTGGAAAGAATGTAATGTTTAGAGTTACAGTCTTTCCTAACACTAGCTCACTGCATTTAAACAGTTGCAGGATATGAAATAAGCCAAGATCCAGCATTTCATGTCATGGAAGCATCATGCATATGGAATTTTTACCCAGGGCTATTGTGAAGTAGTGGGGCACTTTGATGACCTCTGGGAATTAAGGCCAGAGTAGAATAACTTTTTATTTTTATATCCTACCTTCATCTCCCAAAGGGACTTGGGACGGCTTAAATGGGGCCAGACCCACAGAACAGTTAAAACAACACATTAAAATACATATCAACAAAATTATAACAAAAATATAAAGAAATAAAAAGAACAGCATTAAACAGTATATAAAACATACATCAAAACCAACAACCAATAGCAAAGTCTTGTCATCGGTGGGGGGGGGGGGGGCGGACTAGTGCCACAACATTAGAGGATAGAGCTAAGGTGTAAAGTGCAAATATCATATGGCAACAATAAGAATAAGAATAATTTACCATTAAGGATTTGGATATAGCACTCATGAAGTGCTTGAGGTCAATAATTCTTTTGGGGGGAGGGTCCTAACTGGGGCCAGTTGTCCAAAGAATTGCCTAGTCAAAGGTACAACGGAACATCTTTAAGTCCTTACAGACTTAAAAGCCATCTAATCCAAGTTGCTAGGGTGCAATGTATGGGAGAGGCAGAGTTGGAGCTATTTAAGGGTGATCATTTTGCTTGTGTTTCATTTCATTTCAGCATGCACCCCACCCTCAACATAATATTGGCTTAGGGGTTGCTACAGGGAGGTTGGCTTTTTCTCCATTATACCTGTTGTTTGCCTTGTTGTTTGTTCTTTTTTTGTGTG